TGTCTCTGTTTTTGAATAGGAGTTAGAGTAGTGTTAGCTGGAGAATCTGAATCCTCTGTCTCCTACTGGTTAAACTGGTGAGCCTGTGGAGCCTTATTCTTGCAGATGCTGTTCAGAAGCATGTATCTGTTATCTGTGTTTCTCTTTGCTGCAGGGAAGGCCTGGTGGGTGCAGTGCTGGCCATGTGGAAGGGCATGCACTGGGTGATGGCTTTATTGTACTCTATAGCATGGGTACAATTCCTTAAAACCATGTAGGTAGCAGCACTGGTCTGCATCAGGGTTTCAGCTTGCAGAGAGCAGTGCTAATATCAGACTAGCTAGCATAGGTAGCACTGGGTGTGCAGACATGACAGTTGGCTTCATGTGTAGCAGTAACCCAAGAGTTTAGTTTCTAAGGAAGGATTTGCTGAGCTCTCTGTTATGTGACTGCATGGCTAGACAGTCCAAAGCTGCTTTGGCTACCCATGCATCAGCTGTGCTCAATGCCTAGAGTTGCTTGGGGATGTTTGTTTGATTGTCAAAACATTTTGGCGTCAAGGGCCTCTCCACACCTCCTGGTGCGACGTGATCCCCAGTTAACAGACTGAGCTTGACTGTTTGGAAATCCATCGCAGTACTATTTAGACCTGCACAGAGAAAGGGCAAGATACTACCGTGCTGAAATGATAGCTGATATGACAGTACCTGCTTGGGTGAGCAGAGCACTGGTTATGCAAAGTCTGAAGTAACAAGCAAGTATCTGAACTCATTCATCTGCGCTGGTAAGGGATTGAACTGGAGACAGCAAAATCCAGACTTGCCTGTCCCACGAGGGCCTGGTGGTCTTAAAGATGACCAGAGTGACTGTTTCTTGGTTTGGCGTGCTGGGTTTCTTTTTATTTTGTTTTTCTCTCTCTGTTTTAGTCCTTTTAGATCCTTGGTCTGGGCTTGCCCATGAGCTTGGCCACAGGCTTGGGTCTGCAGTGCTTGACCATGGCTCAGTGAGCAAAGTTCAGCTGTTCCCATGGGGTTGGGCACAGCTCCTCATGTGCACCCCAGAGGAGGAGCTCATCATGGGGCAACCTCTACTTCTTCCCCCCATTCCTGGGAGAGGAATGGCTACATCATGTGTAGGTTGCAGCCCCTACACATGTGAGAAAAGAGGGGCACAAGCTGGCAGGTCTTGGATGTTGGCAGTCTTTCCTCCCCAGTACCTGGTGCTGTGGAGGGACAGAGGCAGCAGCTGCCAACCTTTGACAGTGTCTGGCTCCAAACTAACCTGGCAATCTCCCTGCTGGTACCCACTCTGTGTTCATTGGGATATCACAGCCATCATCAGCAGAAGCACAGTGACTCACCTGGCCTGGCCCTCCCTGCACTAAATCCTGCTATCAAGCTGATGATCTGCTGGTAATTTTGCTCCATCTGAGTGCTGTAGACCTGCTCTCGCGCATCCTGCTCTCCCTGTAGGCAGAAAGTTTCCCCCCAAATTACCCCACCCTCACTTGGTGTACCCTCAGCCTCTGGCCACTCGCCAGCACATTGTTTCTTTTGTAAACTAAAAACCTCTGCCCTAGTAACTTATTCCAGGAATATGGCTCTGGAGGCTGATGAGGTGCCATGGAGAGATGTGGACAAGTGCATTTTTGTGGAGGTCCCACAGCTGATGTCATTCCTCATCAAGACAGGGAGGTGATGCCCATGTTGACCTGCTGAGTATGGGCGTTACTGTTAATGCTGAGTGGCTATTCACTAAATGGTCCCTCCTTAGCCCTGTTGTGCACAGGGAAGGACATGGCACAGCATCGGGAGGGGGCCTTTGGAGCAACTCCAGGGCACAAGCTACAAGCTGCAAAATGCAGATGTGTATTGCTCCCATGATCTCTTTTTGTTGTGCTGTCTTCTCTATTCCTCCTGTCACCCATTTACCTCCATTTGCTTTTTATCCCCAGTCTCTCTTTTGTGATGTTATACCTGGTATAGCGGCCCATTCAAAGATGATGCTATACTACAGGGCTGGGTTCATTTCATGCAGGACACTATCAGTCTAGCCTCCTTGGACATAGTAGAAGTACAGAGAGAAGCTTTAATAACTGACTTCCTTGGTCTGACTTTGGGGTTTGGGGTCTTTGTGAAAAAAGAGCAAACATTCATACATAGTTTTCAGTATCATTTAAGGAGGAAAAAAAAAAAGGTAAGGAATGAAATGGCTCTGTTGCTTCTGATTCCTGGGAGGAGCTCCATGTTGAGGCCATGAATGATTTACCAGTTTGGAGAGGGGACCCCTCATGTCCTTGGAAAGGGATTCCAGGTCATCTCCTCTGCTGTTACGGAGTAAAAAGAAAAGTGAATGGTGCTGAAGGCAGTAATAAGTGGCACTGAGCCCTGCAGTGCCACTTCCAGTGGGACAACAGGAGCCTCGTGGGAAGGCTTTCTGCCAGAGACCTCTCCATTCCCCGAGGAGAGCCATCCCTTATCCATATGCGTATCAAATCTATTTGCTAAGCTGAAAGGTCTGACTGATGTTATAAGAGTGTTTTCGGACTTGTTTAGAGTTTTCTGGGGTTTATCTTAGCTGGAATTGTTAAACTCCTTAGTAATGTGTTACAGCTACTAGTAACACAGGAAAGCAAATAACCCTTTCATATGTGAATCCACAGACCAGGAGTAAAGTTAAAGATAATATGAATGATGTCTTATTGCATATCCCCTTCCTGTGGCACCCTTTGATCTAATTTATGTTATTATTTATTTCAGGGTGACCAGGGAGGTCAATGGAGATTTAGCTGCCAACTTGGTGAATAGGATTTCAACCTGTGTCTGTGATTAGTGATGAAATGAATTCCACAGCTTGAAATCATTTATCCAGCATCTCCAATCAAACACAAACATCCTCTGAGCTTGAAAATAAATGAGGGTTGGAGCCAGCTAGCCTGGTGCAGAGATTTGTGATAGATTGATGAGCCGAGAAGAGGCTGCCATCCTCCACCCCCATCATCAGTGACTTTCCAGCCCTGGGATGGGGAGTCTTGGGCTACAGGTGAAGGATATACTTTCTGATAAGTGTTACAGTAGGAGGTGAGAAATATAAGCCCCCAGAGGAGAAAGAAAAAAAGGCAGGCACTGTGCTCTGTTAAGCAGATTACAGTTTAGACAGAGCAGCTGCTTGACGGGCTTCTGGCACAAGGGTTGGGGCAAGAGCAGCCCTGTGCTTGCAGCACCTGTTATTGAACGCTACCCGCAGGTACCAGGGCAGCACAGACTATGCTTTCTGGCTGATACAGTCTTTTTCCAGTTGTGTGTGGAGGTAAGGGGCCTGTGAGATGAAAGGAGAGAGCTGATGAAACAGCTGATGAGGTCTGCCCTCTGTGAGATGAAGCCACAGGAAGGCTCACATGCAAGTGGTTTTTTGGGGTTAAAGCTGAACATAAAGTCTGAATTTGAGTTCCCCTGTCACAGTTCAGTGATTTTTAATTGGGAAATTCATGTTACTTGCCCTTTCCCTTTTTTCTCCCCATAGTATGCCAGCTCCAGAAGCATGGCAGAGGGTTCAGGCTCTCAGATTAACATGGTTCCCCTGCACCATCAGCCAAACTGAGCTGTTATGCTCAGGGCGGGAGAGTGGTGAGCCTGTGGTTCAGCTGGGGAATGGCTATGCATTAAGCTGGAGCCAATAAGTCACTTGCACTTCTCTGTCCCCATCTCAGTGTTCATTAAGATTCAAAGTGAATTTCTAGTTCCCAGATTTGCAAAAGAAATTTTGAAAGGGGGAATGATGTGTTGACTGAAAGTGAAGAAACCAGAAAGCAAAGGAAACCTTTAGCTGATGATTTTAACTGATGATTTTGGGTACACATTATTTGTGATTTTGTTGTTGTTGGGTTTCTTTTATAACTGGGGTAAACTCTACTTCAGAGAGACTGTGTGATACAAGGTATTTTATAAATGATGAGTTAATATTGTAAGTTTTACAACCAAAGAAGATGAAAGAGAGATCTCAGGGCTGAGACCCGTGTGCCTAGTGAGTGAGGAATTTTTGAAATCTGTTGACACCCATCTGCTTAAACACAAGAGCACTGTGCCTGTGGGCAGCTGGGAAGAGGAGCTGCTACCAAATGCAGAGGCAGGGCAGCATGTACCTTGACTGCATTTCAGGCTGCCTTCTAAAACATCCAGCTTGTGCCAGAGATACACAACTGCACATGCCAGGGGAAAATGCTATGCTGATTCTACTAAAAGGAGAAAGGTAGTGCAAAGTTTTCCTTCCAAAGAGGGCAGACAGATTAAGCTGATTTCATAATTTAAAGTAGCTTCTGGGGTTCTCAAATTATGTATCTTCATTGGCACTACCTCTGATACCCCAAACCCACACAGTTTCAGTGGCATGAGTAGCTCCTGCCAGATGTTGTGTCCTTTCACATCAGTCCCAGAGTGCTCCTCATATGGGGTGGCTTTGCCCTGGCTGCTGGAAGGGCTCCAGAGAGTGAGAAAGAGACACCCAAGTGATAGAATTGTTATCTGCCACTGGAAGAAGTCTTGTGAGGCCCATGGGACACTCTGCTATGCTGCAGAACACACAAAACTCCTCTGCTCATTCCTTCAGCAGGAAGCAACATAGGACAGCATGGCTTTACTTCCCCAGGGCCAAATCAGCTCCACCAGCTGGCTGTACCTATGAGAATTTTCTGGAAGGTGTCCGAAGCTGCTCTACCAGTGACTGGATGGACTCTGGCAGCTTATAGGAACCAGGTGCCTCTACAGCTCCCTCAAACCAGTCTCTGGAAGCATATCCCTGTGTGATGATAACAGCGTCATTATTGGAGATCAACTCTTCACACAGGCATTGAAGCAATGCTGGCTCTCCTAAAGCTGTCCTAAAGCTGTCCCATCAGCCCCTTTACAAAGAAATGCAGAAGAGACTTCTTTTTAAGAAAAACCTAATAAATTAAAAAAAAAAATAAAAACCAAACAGAAAAACAACAAAAGGAAGTGGCTAAGGGCATATTTTACTGTGCACTAATGAACTGTAAAGGATATAGGCTAAATATTTTAGATGTTTTGAAAGCAGAAAAGCAAAAGCACTTAACAAGAAATCTCTTTGATTTCTAGGTTGCTTCCTACATCTTGCTGCCAAAGTAGAAGCTCCTTGAGCTGAGGATCTTTCCTTTTCCCCTTCCCCCTACTCCATACTGCCTTCTAACCACTGACAGTAGGTAAAAAGTATTCATGTTTCAGTCCAGTACCTTTATGTGTCTCACACTGGAGGGCTTTTTCCATTCCCCTGGGGTTGGGCAGGCCATGATTATCACTCTAATAGAGTTAATTAAGAGCCTTAAGGCCCTCATGATTTGTTTTCTTTGGGACCAGACCTATGGCTTGGGCCTCCAAGCTACCTGCTCTGCCTCAACCCTTTCCCTGAAAAAACAGCCAAGCAAAATCCAGCAACTGGCTCTTCAGGAGCCATGTGCACCCTACTGCTTTAGCGTGAGCTAGGGGAGTAAATGTAGATGTCTTCTCCTTGGCATGCAGCTGAGCTCCATTAGCTGCAGTGAACAGCTGAAACCAGGACATGGACAATAGCTCAAACAAATAAAAATGACCCCTAGAATTTAATCAGTAAGACAAGGCACATCTCAAAGAAGTCCATCTCCAAGATGGGCTTGATGCTCAGAATGCCAGCAGAGCAGCAGTTTGTTCAGAGAGCAGGTGAAGACCGTCAGGTTAGGTCTATAATCACTTATCCTTAGCACCTGGGAGAGCCATCCCTTAAAATGCTATTCTCCTCTTGCCACAGCCTCATTCAGCTCAGTAGGAACCTCTGAGATCAGGGAAGAACCTTTTTTTTTTAATAACTACAGGAGCATAGGGTCACTCCTACATGTGGAATAAGATAAAAGGCTTTTATGTGGGAATTCTGCTGTCCTCTGGAGAGTTATAAAGATCAAAGACTTGAAACGGTGGTTAATTGCAGGTGAGGTTACTACTGTGAAGCAATTAGCCCATGTGTGTGCGTGTGAAAATGGAGAGCGTGCATTGCTAGCAAACTGAAGTGTCTGCTATAAAACTGCCCTCAGTTTTAGGGGATAGTAACTATTCCCTTGCTGAGTTATGATTCTTCTGAGTGACCAGTTTGAGTCCACAAAACCTTAGTACCTCACTGGCTCCTGTCCCCTTTGTAGCTGAAATGCGAGTCTAAAGACCATGCACAGGGCTTAAATGATAGAAATGAGGACAAACTACCACGATATTCTGGAGAGGAAACTATGTTCTTTAGTCCATGAGAGCTGTTAAGGTAACAAAGAGGAAAAAGGAGATTTGAAAGATACGATTTGGGAGTCTTGAAGCCTTTGTCTCAAATCTTTACAGGGCAATTCAGTAACTTGAAGGATGAGAGTAAATTATTGCTGTAATTTGAAACTGCCAGAACTACAAAACCAGGATGAGGACAGTTTTCCATAAAGCTGAAGGCCTCCAAGGAGGTCTCTGAGCTGTACAGTCAACTCTAGTTTGTTTACTAGTGCTGTGGAAACTGTGATGAATTGTAGAAAACATTGTTATTAAGAGGGGTTTCAAAGGGAGGGAGCTGAGCTGGTGATTGAACAGCAAAGCAGCCTTGAGAATTTGTGCCTGAGAAGTATGAGTCTGGAAAGGATAAGCAAAGCTGAACAGGCACAGCTTTTGGATCCAGGGTACCCAATGTTCAAGGGACAAGGCCTGGGGCTGGCTCTGCGGTGAGCTCTGTCTGGTCAGAGGAACAGCCCAAACATGAGCAGTGAGGGGTAGAAACTAAGACCTGATGTTTTCACAAGGGCGATGGCCTGTTCTGAGATCTTGTTTTCCCTCACATGGAGGAGATACTGAAAAAAGCCAGGGAGAAGGGATGGGAGCTTGGAAGCCAGGGAGTAGCTCTGTGTCAAAGCAGAGTGAAAGACTCTGCTTATGAGAGTTATGGAGACAGTAAAGTGGATTGTGAAGAAGTGAGGAAATTGCAAATAACAAGAAAAGTATATCTATCTTCCCTTTTCTTTCATATCAGATGTTCTGCAAAGAGGTGAACAACAAACAGGTTTTCAACAAGCTTGAAAATAACCAAAGAAAAGTCTAAAAGTCTTCAATCTAGCTCTTTAGGCAGTTGATTTTTTTGTTGTTTTGTTGTTGTTGTTGTTGTTGTTGTTTGTTTGTTTTTTCGGTTTTTGGTTTTTTTTTTTTGCTAGTATCTGTGAACTGTCCAGACTGACAAACTATGAAAAGGCTACTAACATGCAGCTGAGCCTGGGGGCACATAGACTTGTAAGAGTGGCACTAGTCACATTGTGCAGTCATTGGAGTTCACTGCTGAGACACAGAAAGTTAAAATCTGTATCCTTCTTCCCTCCTGGGCTTTTCCATTTCTGCTTCACATCCTTATAACGTCTGAGGCAAGACACCGGTCTTCTGATCTTCAAAACATGGCTTCGGCTGCTACTTAACCCCTCTTTTCACAACAGGTATCTCTTCTCCCTGCATCAATGACCTAATTGCATGTGTGCATGTTGACAGGGTGGAAAGAAGAAAGCCTTTAGTTAAGCAATTAGTTGCTACCATTGCAAGTCCTGCCACAAGATAATTGAGCACCATTAAGTAATGTTTGGTTCTGAAATGCGGCAATTATCTCAGTAATTGCGAGGATGTTACTTGAATTCTAACCCATTTTTACTGACACGTTGAATGTTTCTGCTCACATCTAAGCTGCTGGAGTGCCTGGTGTGAGATACTGGGGGAAGCAAGCAGGGAAGTGGAAGGAAGCATGTTCTATTGAAGAGGCTGCCTAGAGCCCAAATTTGGTGGTGGTTTTCGTGTTGCAAGCAGCTGATATTGAGCTGGCTTCACCCTGCTCTTGCCAAGACCTCTTAGCCTGGGCAAGGCAATCTTTCCCTTCCTAAAACCAAAGCAGAGACAGGGTGGTGGAGCACAGTTTGCCTGGTCTAGCACTTGACCTTGCTAGGTCTCTGCCTCCTTTCAAATGTGCAAGTCATTCTTGCGCAGCAGCAAGCTGGTTTCTGGTCTTGAAGGTTTGCAGTCCAACTCTTCTCCTCTGTAAGGAGCGATGATCTGAGCTTCAAGGGGATGGAATTAGCCACTAGAGGGTAGCACAATTAAAAGCATAAGGAAGTTTCATTTCTGGAAGTCAGACTGTCCGTGCTGGGGGATTTGCAGCACAGATGGTCAGACCTCTGCAGACCTGTGGACATGCGGTGCCTCCAGGCTACCTGCTGCTGAATGGATGGGGCAGTGCAGGAGCAGAAGCAAGCACATGGTGAGGAAGCGCTTGCCGCAGTGAAGCAGGAGCTTGTGGCAGCAGGAGTAGGGCTCCCAAAGCTGCTTCTGCTCTTCCTGGCCACCATCCTACTTGCTCTCTCCTTACCGGAGTTCAGGATCCCAGGGGAGCCTTTTGACTTAGCTCTGCTGTTGGCTTAATGTAATTTCTTGAGTTGTGGCTCTGAATCTAAGCTCAGGTCTGGGGTACAACCAGGTCAGATGAACAATACCAAGGTCTTTTCCCATTTTGTGAGTTAACACATCTGTGTAAGACTTCTTGGGTTAAGAATACTAGAGTACATACTGCCCTTCTCTTGGCCTCTGCTGGCACATACAGAGTGCCATGCACACTAGCAGACAAGAATGTGATCAGTTCTTAAAATCACACTATTGTATGAATGGAGAGAAATCAGTGCTGGGTCGCACAAGAAGCAAGGTTTTAATTTTAAAGCATGCCTCTTGAGCCAAAGGTCAGAGCAGAGCCATCCTCCCTTGAACAAAATCCTCACCACCACACTGTATTAACATGATATTTAAAAATGCAGCTGCACTCTCGGGTTAAAGTCCTGGCTCTGCAGAGAGCACACTCCGGCAGGATCAGTTTCAAGGATGGAGAAATGTGGTGTCTGACGCACACTAGAATGTCTGCCTCCTGATCCGCTGTGCAACAATGCATCAAGCACGTCTTGAAACGTGGGCTTTACCAGTTGCCAGCATGTGCCAGGGATGGGGGATAGTTATGATGTTAATGTAGTTAACTGGGGATATGAAGAAGTCTGTGAAGGAGAAGGCAAATGCTTTTCTTACAGTCATGTGGCTCATTAGAGCAATTGCAAAATACTGCCAGGGTGAAAGAGCTTTTTCTCTTCGGGGTATTCACAGCATGCAAGGAAGCCTCGTTGCTTCATGGGAGTCATGATGATGTTTCCTTGCCACGTTTTGGGCAGCAGTGGGACACGAGCAGGTGTCCTGCGATAGCACAGTGTAGTGTTATGACACTGCTGTGAAAGAATCTGAGTGACTCAAGGTAGAAATGTCTCATTGCGTAGAAAAGGGCTGGCTTGAAACTGATCCTCACTAGTTGCAGGATATCACCACTGTGGTAGCAAGACAGAACAGTACAGAGTGCTTTTTTAACCACGAATATGCCCTTGTAACCCATAGGACAAACTGTGGCCTTTGTGCTGTGTATGCCCATTTTCAACCAAAAGATCTATTCCCCAGATCAGGTTAATAACCCATAACCCATTGGGTTAATGCCTCTTCAGAGGTGGTTGCTGGTCAGCTGACAAGGACATTGGAAGATGAATCTGCTTTTCCCAGGTTACCCTAATTGTGGGACTCCCTGCCCATGTGTGCACTAGTTGACCTCCAGGAATTCTTGCAATACTTCATCTTTTGGATGGGTTTTATACCATCCCCCTCAGACACATTATTAGGAGGAACAGGGAATGCCATGTATGTTTTCCACCTTATAGTTTTTACAGGCTGCCCCAGCTGATCTGAGGCTCTTGAAGTTTTGCTTTGGAGAGGAGTGTGTGTGTCTGTGCAGGGTTATAGTCATCTAAAGTGGCGGTCATTGCCTTCTTGAAAAAGGGTCTCCTTCCTAGAGACACGGGCAAGGAGGCAATGGCCTTTGAATGTACAGACTCTTCAGGAAGTGAGAAGCAAATTTATTTTGTGACTTCCCTAGTAGCCTCCATGTCCCCTTTGCCTCCCACTGCATTGCTCTGAGCTGGTCTGTGTGGGCAGGACTGCCCAGGGGTGGCAAGCAAAGACCACAAGGCTCTGGAATGACTTGCTCAAAGAAATGAACATTCACCAGCTGGCAGCATGGGTATGAACCACTCCCCTGTGGCATTTGAAACACAAGCAAGTACAGTAGTGTGTTGAGTTGTATATGGTGGCTTTTTCCTTGTTGCCTTAGGGAACAAGCATGTCTCTTGTTAGCCCTTGGGTGGCCTGGTCTGGGCTCTGTATTCAGAGTGGCACACTGCTTCCCTGGCCTGACCCTGACCCTGGAGTGCAGAGGGAGGAAGATGACTGGGAGGGGAGAGCACGGGAGCTATTTTTGCTCCCATATCGCTATCTAGTTAGACTCCAAGATGCTGTCCTTCACTGCTGTATGCCACCTCGCTCTGAGGCTCTCAAGTGTTTACCATTGACATGCTGCGAGCAGATGGACTGGCAAGAAGAGATAAATTTGACCCAAGAAGATGTCATTTGAGGAACAGCTGAGGCTAATGTTTCACCAGATGTCCCAGCTTTAACCCATTAGCAACTTCAAGGAACTCAGTGTTGTCAATGGCTTAAACACAGTCCATTACCACAAAGGCAGGGCACAAAAGCTATTGTTAAAATTTGCTCAATAAGCTGATATTCCAGGTTTTTTCAAGAGGGCTGCTATGAGCTCAAGCCCAATAGGGGAGCAATGTGTAGCAAGGTTACATAGCTGTCCTTTGCAAGCTTGGTTCAAACAACACGACTGGTCAAATGTTACCCATTAATGCTAAACAGATCTGCTGATGCATGAACCAGCAGATACCATACTATGACAATACTAACAAATGCTCCCAAAGGCATTTCTGTGACTGGGGTAGGTGGTCTTCCCCTTAGTGACTCTGTATTGAACATCTCAAGAGATACTGCTGTTTCTGGTGCCAGATTAAACGT